CACAGCTGTTAATAGTTTATTGAACGGACACAAGAGGGCACTAACACTTTTGCTATTGGCCAATTGGGCACAGTTATTACCAGTGGTGATGGTCATAAAATGATTGGTCACTTCTGGCCAATTGATTTGAGGCATTATTTTGGTGAAAGGCAACAAAATGATCAAGAAATCTCTAAATCTTCAGAGTGAGTCGTCTATGGATAGCTCTCCAGATGGTAGCCGGAGGCCCAGTACACAAGATGTGAGTTCACTACTTAAAGATCCTACTCCTGCTACAGAAGTGTTTTGCTGCATTTTTCATCACCACATCTAACACATCTTTTTGTCTTTTGTCAGGTCGAGCGACCTCCTTCGCTGTTGGCATCTCCCACCGTGAGAAATGCGGGTTCTGATTCGGCTCCACAGGAGTCTATAAAATCGATGGGGTCTCTGAGTCCTCAGCCCTCCCATGCTGAGCCCCAGGATGCTGTAGTAGATGAATGCATCGAGGTTGATGGTGGTGGTTCAGAAGCTGCCTCGGCACCTGAGACGCCATCCTCATCTTACCCTCCTTGGATGAAGAGTCCAGACCGAGGTGGCCTCTCGTTTTCCCCAGTGAACTCTAATCTGAGAGACCTCACCCCTTCTCACACCTTGGAGATGGGGGCGTATAGGCCAGATTCAACCTCTGCTGGCCCCTTCAGTGAAGCGGCACCCTTCTATCCCTGCAATGAGGAAGCAAGTGGCGTGACCTTTACCCGCTCATTGAGTGGGGAGGGCGCAGGGGAGGGAGGCGCTGCAAAGAACCCACAGAAGAAAAAGGTCTGTGTTAAAGCGTTTGCCAAATGTATAGATGTAAAATGATTTCTTTTTCTTTTTCCAAATTCTTCATCTGGTAATCTCAACTGAAAAATTCAAATTTATTTGTTGAAATATTATGTGTGCCATTTATTCAAGTGATTAATTTACTGTACCAATATTCATGTGTTGTTAGGTCTCTCTCCTGGAGTACAGGAAACGTCAGCGTGAGGCACGGCGAAGCGGCTCCAAGGGAGAGTGTGGATCTCCTGTTTCCACAGCACCACCAGTAGACGTTTTCCCTGTCGCTGTGGAGATACCCTTTGAGCCACCTGTTCTCGCAGCAACACCAACCCCCAAGACCCCTCAGCCTAGCGAGGAGTCAGACGCCCAACCTCAGGGGGAGAGAGACGGAGAAGGCCAGTGGTACGTCCCTAAAGAAGTTCTGTTCCTTGACAATGAGCTCTTAGCCTGCATTAGCATAAACTCCATTTCAGATTTCAGATATAAAAAGTCCAGCAAATGCTGCTGTCCAGAATTAATTACAAAATTATAACATTTCATTTACAGGACATCTTCCACATCAGTAGAGCAGGCCAGAGAGCGAAGCTACCACAGGGCCTTGTTGTTGAGTGACCATCGCAAGGATGCAGGTAAGAACAACCTTGGGAATAATGTTGGATTGTGATTTCCAGGTTTGGATTTGTTAGTAGTTGATTTGTGCTTATAGGTGAAACTGTGATAACTCTGATGAAATGCAATCATTGACACTCTGTGGTCATTAAAAATCCCAAATTTTCCCCTTGACCTCTATCCATCATGGCCTCTTAATCATCCCCATATACTGATTGGCTTCATCACTGTCTCCTCTCCACCAGTAAGATGGTGTGTGGTGGCCGTTCTGGCGCAATATGGCTGCCGTTGCGTCTTTCAGGTAGATGCTGCACATTGGTGGTGGTTGAGGAGATTCCCCCTTCTATGTAAAGCCCTTTGAGTACCCAGAAAAGCACTATATAAATTTGAGCAAAATAATAACAATTATCAATTTAACCATTATGCAGCAAGACAAAAATGTGACAATTAGACTCAATTTTCCGGACAAAAACAGAACATGGTCGATTAAAAATACTAAATAGAACATTTGACACTAAAAAAATAGCCGTTGAAATGATCACTTCTGCAGACTTCAGTTCTGACCCTGCCTATAATTTTCAAGTGACTGGTTTAGTTGTGTTTGATTGGTATTGGGGTCTGCAGGATGGTAGCTTTCCAAGAATTGGGTTAGAGACCCTTGGTGTATCCAATAATAATTCCAGGGGTGTCTAATACTGAAACCCTAATTAAACTCCAACCCTAATTAAACGCTGAAATCAATGTCTTCAGGATTACTATAAACTTCCAGGTTGGAGCTAAACTCTGTAAGAACATGTCCAACCAGGAGCAAAACACCACTTGGAAATCATGGAAATGCCTTGATCAGAAGGTGTGGGAACACTGGTAAGATTTTCTGTAGTCTTTCTTTGATTTAAAATACCTACATTGTCTCGTTTTCAGACAGTGGGGAGTCAGAGGGTGGCGAGTCCCAGGTGAAGGAATGTCCTTCTCCTAAGAGCTGCAAGAGCCCATCAACACATGCAGTAAGAGTTTGCATCTCTCAATTTTGGCAACATTAGAATTTTCAACCAGCAATTTGATGTTATCATAAACCTTTTTTTTTTTTTTTTACAGCCTTGTTCTCCAGCACCCCAGACTGTGTCTCGGCCATCCAAGGAGGAAGATGTTGAAGCACAGCCTCGTGGTCCTGCTCAGCCTCAGACACTGTCCGTCCAGCAGTCCTGCACCAAGAGTCCGAGCTCCAAACCAGCTGCTCTGACGCCCAGCAAGCTCCACTGCGGCCCCTCCAACACCTCACAGAGTCACTACGCTGGACCTTCGCTCATGCACTCTCCCAAAGCGCAACCCCAAGGTTCACCTTACCGTGGTCAGCGAACGTTCCTGACAGCTCAACCTCAGAACCAGCCTCAACCCCAGGCTACGTCTGGCCCGGCCACTTTCCCCCAGTATAACCCCCAAAATGCCCCACCTCCGCCACCTCCTCCTCCTCCCCCAGCTCCACCCACCTCTGCTCCCTACTTCCCCACTCAGCCTCCCGCTGCTGCCGCACCGTTCCCTGCGTTCAAGCCTACTGTGGCCTCACCCTTTCCTCCCGGTTCCCAACCTCTCCTGCAGCCCCATCATGCATTGCATTACCAAAGCAGTGCTGCCCCTCCCCCACCACCCCCTCCTCCCCCTCCCCACCCGCAGCCTGGCCCCACCTTGCTGCATGTCAATCTGCAACCTCCTTCGATGCAGCAGCATCAACTCCTCCTGACATCCGCCCCACCTCCACCTCCTCCTCCACCTCCTCCTCAGGGACAGAGTTCCCAGCAGCCCCCACCTAATAGTGGCACGCTCCTGTCAATCAAACAAGGACCACACCCGCCCCTTTTACCCCCTCCCCCTGCTCCATCCAGTAACGCACCACACCCTTTTCAGAACATTAGTGGCTTTCAAACCACTCTACTTCACCAGTCTGCACCAGCCAACCCCTCAGTAACCCCTTCCACCTATCAACAAACTGTACTACCCCCTCCGCCTCCACCACCTCCTCAACAAACTCCTCCCACACAGACCCCGGCCAATTCGAGTGTCTCGCAGATCGCTGGCGGTAACAGAGGACCTACCCCTTCGTCGGCTCCTTTCCACAGCGCTGGTTACTTGGGCACAGGATGGCACTGATCACACCCACTTAGCCCCGCCCCTAGACGAACTCTCTCAGAGATGGGCGGAGCTACATCGTGTAACATAGGCAACACAGCACCACTGTAAATATTTTCTATGTACCTTTTCACAAAGGATAATGAAAAGCGGTGGGGGGAAAGGGTACATTTTAAAAAGAAAAACAAGAAATACAGAACTGTAAAAGCAGACTTTGTGTAAAAGAATGATGGTTAATGAACCCTGGTGCTCATCACTTACCCAGAATCCCCCACACCTCTCTCCTTCCCATAACCTTGTACTGCCATCCTGTCTTTTCCAGACGTCTTTTTTTACTTTGAATGTTTTTATTCATTTTAATCGCCTTTTCTGGTCTCTTCCTGTTGGATCCTTCCTCTGTCCTCCCAGTGTAATGCAACGCAATGGCACATTCCAGTTTCCTCCTCAGCTTTCCCTTCTCTCCCTGTCTCTCACTGTTTTTTCCACTCATCAGTTATTTGTTTTATCTAGTTGCTCATTATATAGCAAAAAGGTTTTGTATAGAGAAAAAAATACAGAATTATTATTTTTTTTATTCCTCCATGTAACAAAAATATCTGTGCACCGCTGCAGAAATTCAGAGGAGACCTTTCCGATAGGCCGCTTCACTGCCCAGGAGACTGCACTTGTGTGAATGAGCGAGTCTGTGTGCATGAGTGTCTGTTTTTAAGCGGAAAGGAGCGTGTATGCTTGCATGCCGCCCGCATCTGTGTGCATATTTGAACAGCACGCGAGAGGCGGAAGGCAAATAAGACACGGACAGATGCGTGCTGTTCTCTGTGGCAGCTTTAGAAAGAGAGGTCCTTCCTGTAGGGGTAAGCGGTTTATTTTTGGATATCAATGGTTATTTGTAGAAAGTGTAATTTAATGTATAGGTGGTTACTCCAGCTTTCTCCAGAAACAGTTGTAAATATTGGCTTCTTTTCTTTTCTATGCTTGTATAATTCGCTCCCATCCCCATTTTGGAATATGGTTGTAAATACAAGCGCTCTTGACAAAAACGCTGAATGTTTCTGTGACTGTAGCACTATTTTTATTTCTTCCTCTCTGGTTTATTTTTTTTTTTTACTGTTTGTGTGTGAGTGTATGTGTGTGTGAAGGACAGAGGCTCACAGACACAGCACTGGTTGGCTATTTTCATGGTTCATTATAATAAATCACTGTAATGACAGTTTTATACCAATTAAATCGTTTTGTGTTTTACTGGGTTGGGAAACTGGGGTGTTTACGTGTCCCTAATGGGAGTTTTCTTTCACCATGAAGGTCTCGGGATGAAGAGATGCTGCATGCAATGAAGGTTTGAAGATCAGTCTGCTGTTGCTGAGACTTTTCTAAAGGTTTCCATTTATTGACCACTGATGTTTGGCATTGAAAATATAAACCTAAAGTTGCTTTTTTTGCCATTTTCATCTGATAGATGCTTCAAATAAACTGTTTTTGCTTAGATCAAGCAGAACAAAGGCAAAGAGGTAATATGACCAGTGAAGCAGAGTTAAGAAGCCCAATCGGAATGAAGAAATTGGTTACATGACCAATCGGAACAAAGGCAGAGAGGTTAGAAGACCAATCAACATTAAGCCAGAGATTAATAACGCTGTTCATAACTTTGTCTTGCTGAGGTTTGCCGTGGTGTGAAGATTGAGCAGCTTTCAGGTCAGTATTACCTTGGGTCAGTGACTTAGGGGGGTCCCCAAGGTATTTTTATTTTAGTAAAAAAGTAATTTAATTCATGCAGTGCATAGGCTACGTAAATTTCATGTTTGTTTTTTAGACTAGCTAAGCTGTCTCTTTAAAATTTCTCTCTTTCTACTCTATTTATCCACTCCATGTTGGGGATTTTTGTATTCTTTACCTACATAAATTGGAAACATTTAGGCTTAATTTTTTTCTTATTAATTAAGGATCATTATTAACATCCCAACGCTGCTGAGAAGCGTTTAGAGGAGTATGAAAATATCTGCTGCACACTTTTCTCTCAGTAACGAAATAAACACAAAATGACACCCGTGAGAAAATGGCAATTAAAGTCGCGTTACATTTATCTATATAACGTTAGCACTTTATCCAGTATTACAAAGTGTTTATGAAAAACATTGCCTATCCTCTTTTAAGTTATACTATACGTTCCTACCCCTCTTCGACATCACTCGTGAAAAGCCATCACGCAAATTGAGCGGAGCACGTGAGCAGCATTCACGTCTCACTGTATCTACATTCACTGGTGACAGACAGGTAACGATAGTTTTTTTTTTGTTTTGTTTTTTCTTTGTACCATAAGCTTCTTCACGATTAAAATAGCTACAGAGCCAGCCTAAATTAAGCAATAGCCCTCCATTAAGCTTAACCAAAGCAAACGAGTCTGGCGTTGTCATAAAATAGCATTGTGCAGGGTCAGAAATGCCAACAAAATGAATAAAAAATGCCCACAAAACTCACGATAGGAATTGTCACTGTACAAGATTTTGTCTTTTATATCACATGATATAGTTAAGTAATATCACACCAGGAAAAGTGCAGTTTTCCACGATATCACGCGATTCCAAATTTTAATACAACAGTTCAATAAACAAGTTGATAATCATCTACATTTTTAAACACAGTAATGCCAATTTTGACTGTTTATGCTCTACTTGACCAATGATATTAGTTTCTAACAAAGCAGAACAGTTCTGTTCCCCTGTTTCGTTCCTGAATGATTCAGTCAGTTTGAAAGAATCGTGAATATTTGACTCGTTTATCAAGACTTTCCACCACGTACTGGGTTTAGTTTTATAGAAATGTATCATATATAGAAAAATATCATTTTAGTTTTTCCAACATTTCATATACTCATAACATTACTCATGCAACTGTAATTGTGGTGTAAATACATCTAAATAATAATAGTATAATAAATAGTCATTTTTGTTAATAATGCACAACACGTGTACCAATTCCAGCATAATCCCAACAAAGGACATGGTTCTTTATTTGTTTAAAGATGTAAATGATTTAAAGATGTTCTACAGTTTTTAACTAATTTAATTTTTGGGGTGCCCTTTTTCCCTGCCCTTCAAAATTTCAGTGCATGGCCCTGCCATGGGTGTCCAACACTTGCCTGGAAGTTTCTAGTAATGATTATCTGGTTGAGGTGTGTTCAATTATAATGGGGGCTAAACTCTACAGGACAGGGGCCCTCAAAGATTAGGATTGGACCCCGCTGATTTAGTGTGACAAAAATAAGATAAATGTGACTGCTTGTTCTTTACAACAATGCTCAGAATAAAATCTCTTTAGCAACACTTGTCTTGACTTTAGTCTGTAGAGGTAAAATCTTTATTCATTAATGTGGGTGAATTGTCTTTAATGAACTTTTATAGCTAATACATTTGAATGGTGTATTTACATAATTTTCTACATACAACATCCGACAAGACAGACACCCAATAAATAAAGCAAAACATCTTTTCTTTCAATTTTCTTACCCCTCAGAACTTCATCCAGTATCATCCAAACTCTTCAGCTGTGCAAGGAGGGAGGGAGTGTTGGTGTTTGCTTTTTGAAGCCACATCCTCCAGGTTTTGTCATGACATTTTCTTTTTGATTGGCATTCGTTTATCTTGGTGGGACAGAATGACAATACCAAGAGTACAAAACGGTACCAGCTGAGAACATCATAATTATGGCACACATAACTATACAGCACCAACACTGCCGAGAAGTAAATATTGAATTAGAGACATACAGAAATTCAACATATACACTCAATACATAATACTTAAAACACTCTCCTACTTCTGTATATACTTGGCTTGTGCACAATAACTAATGGCATAGAAGTCTGCCCCTAATTTTCACATTATTATTATTATTTTAATATATTAACAGTGAACTCTAGCCTTCTGTTTAGATCCCCTTTTAAACAATGTTGGATAGTGTTGTGGTGTAATAACTGTACATTTGAAACCCTATAGATGATCACTTGCATGTAAATTGGCTCTCAGTAAAGTGTTCATGATTCAGTGTCCCTTTTTCTTTTCTTTTCTTCCCAGGGCTGATAGTGACACAGAGGAATACTAACAGGCTAGGAATGTCTGTTGCAGCTTTGTGCTGGAGTGTAATCCCACAATTCATTTTCTTCTACATTAGTATACTTGGTGAATTCAGTCAAATAGAACAGTGTTTTATAGTAATTCTTAAATCACTAAATATTAACATTATTGTAATGCAGGCCTGAAGAAGAGGACACAACGTAAAATAAATAACCTTTTTTTTTTTTTTTTTTTTTATTAATCCAAGTAAAAGTTGCTTCTAAATGGTGCATTAGCTGCCCTATCATGTTAGTAGCACAGGTAAATCAAACTAGGGTAGGGATTTTTTGTTTATTTGCAATTCCAGGGAGTGAAAAGAAGGGATATGGACAGAAAAGCAGTGAGTTCCCAAACTCCATTCACCCTGTTTGCATCCTTTGCTTTAACGTTTTGTTTCAAACCGTTGCAGTCAGGCTTCCTGCCCTCAGGATGATGGGTAAAGCTGGATTGTGATTTCACATAATGATTTCCTTAAATGAGACAGAAACACCTGGAAACAGATAAAAGGGATGTTTTACTGTAAATTCACAGCGTTATACATGAGAAATGCAAACATGTGAGCTAAATATGAGTTCACCCAAAAATTATGTCATCATTTACTCACCCATGTCAGTCTAAACCTGTAAGACTATTTTCATTTTTGTCTATGGCAACATTTGAACCCCATTGACTTTCATTGTATTGAGAGAATCATTTATTTTGAGTAGCATAAATGAATTAAAAATTAAAATTTAAACGAAACATTAAAATTCGTACCAATGGGCTATATGCACGCATAAGTTCCGCATTTGACGTAAGGATGCTCGTCCATTTCCGGTTGTGTAGATTAAAGCGGAGGAAAACCGGAGAAAACGGGATTATGGCAGAGTCTTCAATATTTACTGTCCTCCCGTCTTTGAAACGAAACGTACATACGTTTAGATGTAATTTTATATATAGTTATGTTTATTTAATATAATTTTAAAAAGAAGCATAAACACAACGAGGGGTGTCTGTTTTATCTGTTTTTGTGACTAACGTTTCATTGGTATAACCATGGAGTATAAAATTCAATATAAATTCTCGGTATTGCATTGGACTCTATGATCGGCGGAAGTTATCGAGCATCCTTAATCCTTCACCGGAAATAACGCCGTGCATAGAGCCCATACAACTTCCTGTTTCAACAAAGAAATTAGGTCAAACCATTTCATGGGGTCTTGAAAGGGATCGTTCGCCCAAAAAATGAAAATTCTGTCATAATTTATTCACCCTCAAGTTGTATAATACAGGTGACCAAACAGTTTATGGACCCCATTGACTTCCATAATATATGGAGAGAGAGAAAAAAAATATCATGGAAGTCAATGAGGCACATCAACTGATTGGTTACCAACATTCTTCAAAAGTGTTAAAAGAAGAAAGAAAGTCATACAGGTTTGGAACAATTTGAGGGTGAGTAAATAATGACAGAATTTTCATTTTTGGGTGATGAATTTAAAGTAATAGAAACTCACCTGAGTGTATCTGGCATCTATGCATTTCCACTCTCTGTTAAGACAAAAAAAAAAGAGAAAAGTCCGTCAAAATTAAAGCAAAAGTCACTGCTTAAATCCATAGTCATTTCCAAATGCAGCAGAAATTTTCCGTCACAGTTGACACGTACATTAAAATAAAGTCGCCTTTTGTTTGTCGTTTCTTACATAGCCAGCTGGGGTGACATTATTACCGTTCATTTCCACTAGATGGCACCAACACCATCATGTGCCATCCCAAAATATGCCATTACATATTCTGTTTCTGCAGAACTACTATTAAGGAGAAGCGAATTGCTCATTCATCATTACACAAACACCCTTAAACACAACACGTCATTTTCATAAAATCTTAACACATCTATAAGTGTCCTTCAGTGCCATCATGTATTATCAAAGATAATTGTATAATGGAAAAGGAGCCCATCTTTCATTTAAATTCATCATATGAAGCTTATTATAGTCCATATCCATTAAACAGCGTTTCGTTCCAGGTGTGCGGTTGAGCATAGCATGGGTTCCAGCTGATGCTGTGCCTCTGATTAATATAGACGGTCTGACAGCAAGCTGTGTAAACAGTCATTAGTAATTCATGACTGGGTCCAGAGCCCCAGGCTTCAATTAACCCCAGTCTATGCTGAATTCTACCTTTCCTTTCCTCTTCTTACACGTTTCTTTTCACATCTCATTCATTTTCAAGGCCCTATTATCTGATTCTCTCCTTAATGATCATCGCTCTGTCTTATTTTCTCAGGTTGGTTTGCCCTTGATTGATCTGGCTGTCTCTGGCTGACTGGCTCCGTCTCGTAATGAATGAATTGGACCGACTGGCACAACAGCTGCACGTTATCATTTATGGTGAGAAATAGAGAATTCAGTGTGTAATTCTCAATTTATGTAAATTATGCAGGTTGTGATTATAATTAAATCACATGATGTCTGTGTATCTAAAATACACAGAATTAGCCGAGCCAAATTCTGCATTCTTTCACACAGAAGAGTTTGATTATAAACTTCTGGTTCATTTTTAATATTTCAAATTGTAATATATACAAATGCTTGTCTAATACAGCCGACACTGGTACCATCTGTAACTGACTAACTATAGCAAGTAGAAGAGGTCTGGGTCAAGGTCATGGTCTTCAATAGCGATAACACTTGGATTTCACAACCAAATGGTGTTTTCATCGTAAGTACAACTCAGAAATTCCATGCATAATTATCTTTTCACATTTTTATCCTGCCCCGAATTAGTTTTGGAAGATATGAATTGTGGATAACCTCATTTTGTTCAACACTCTTTCAATAATTTTGGACAATAAGAGGTCACACACAAATTGGCAGAGAAAAGCTTTTGAAATGCAAACGGATATCCCTCCCATGGTTAGACAACATAAAGTAATGCTAATCTTACTGTCTCCCAGCAGCTCCTCAGACATGAGTCCATCCTGCCTGTTGCCCAAAACGAAAGCCAGGAAAGAGAGAATAAGTGCGTCCAGGATGCCCATAATGGCCAGGATGTACGCCCAGCGCACTGAACACGCTCCGATGGTGTATTTGTCCGTCCCTTCTCCGCACATCCTCTTCACCTCATCAGCATCCCATCCGTCAGGATATATCATGCAGCCCAACACCAGACACGTACCTGAGAGAGAAAGCGGGCATTTTGAGTTCTCCAGGTAAAAATATTTCTATGGATTTAATCAACAGCAGAATTCATTTCTGTACTCGAGTGATATGATAGATGGCGGTTCTGTAGTGAAAGCTGGGGAACAAAATGAGCTCAGATGAAAGAAGTCATGGAAGTTTTGTTTGTTCGATTATGACACGGGTCGGACGAGCCCCCAATTTATTTTCACATACAGACACACAAAGCTCACTCTGTTTACAGCTGCTTGAGTCATTTTTCAACACTTGCATGCCATACAAAATAGCAAAAATAGCTTGATCGTAAAAAGACTTCAAGTTCTCCATTCTATTCTGGTCCCTAAATCCCACCCCCAAAAAGTCTGATTCCTTGTCCACGATTGTTCAGGAAGTCCTGCGTCAAAGGGTTGATTCAGGTGTGTTTGTTAAGGAAGAGTTTGTACTGTTGATGTGCTGCCAGGAACAGGGTTGAGAAACACTTGTCTAGCTGCAGTTTGTGAAAGTTGCATTACCCTTCCATTACTACATAGTTCGCCTGACAAGTAATAGATCTGACCTCAGATCAGCAGCCTACAGCATCCCTGATGAATTGAGAATAGAAAACTGCATTTTTCAGGAGTATCAGACAGGGCCTAGTCATGGTCAATCCTGGAAGACATAGTGCGGAGAAAGGTGAATACTGCATGTGCCAGATTTGATGCATTGATAGTGTTCTGCAGGTACAACCCATTACATAAGAGGAATCATTTATGATGTCATCAGGGCTTCTCTTTAGTTACACGACAAAAGACGTTAGGTGCGTTCACACCATGTCCTGATCCCCGAAATGACCTTGAACTAATAGACTTGTAATTACAATGTGTGAACTCGTAATTTTCTTAGAGACTTGTACATCTGACCACTGCAGATATAAGGTGTGTTCGTCTTGAAGAGATACTGTGACATCATGTACCACGAGAGCAATTTGAAAGCAAGCTTATGGTAATTATGACATAGTGTGAAGGCAGCATTTGATGCTAGTCGTATCTTAGAGACAAGACAGACACCATATATATATATATATATATATATATATTTTTAGACTTGACTTTAAGTTGGTGATGTGTTGAAGAAGTATTGGGTGCAGTTGAGTACAAACATTGTGGGTAACACTTAGAATGAGATGAGAAAATGGTAAATAAACAAAGCATCAGTTACATCTTTTGCTTTTAATTATGTGGCTTTACTGACACAACGCTTCCTGCCATTGTGAGAAAGAAACTATGAAATTACCCAACTCTTTATTCTGACCACAATCACTTAAATGCACATCATGTTGTAATTACAACATCAGAACCAATAAAGGGAACTTCCCAACAGGACTTGAAAGCAGCATATCTAGTTGAATGGAAGACAGTTTTAAATTTACATTTGATCATTTAGCAGATGCTTTTATCCAAAGTGACTTACAAATTAGGAGGACAGTAGAAGCAATCAAACCAAATGTTTTAGCACAGTCAAAAAAAGAAAACGGGAGCGTATAGCAAAGCTCACATACAGATGCAGCCAAACGAATCAGGCATGATTAACACATCTCCTGTTTTTTGTCGCACATCTTACTATTTCAAAAAAATTGGTAGATAAATTAACAGTCACTAAAAGCCTTTTCCTACATCCCATGCCTCTCTCGCTTTCATCTATTGGCTTGTGTGTCTAATAAGCAAAACTTCAAAAGACATTCATCATCATTATACTAATAGCCATCAGCAGTATAGTAATCACATTAAAGCTGAGAGCCAATCACCCGCATCCCTACATCCAGTTTATTTTCACTGCAGTCACTCTGGTGGGTTCACAGGTTTCTCCTTGGGGCTTTTTATGGCAGTGCCACTGAGGCTGTCACTCATGTAACCAGCCGTCCTGCATTCCTGATTGTCAAAGAACTTCTTACACCGTATCCTATTCAGGTGCGACATGGCAAGTTTAAAAGCAATTTGCACACTGAAATTGAAAATGCTGCACGAGCACGACGCAACACTATCACAACCAATCAGAATATATTAGAGTAGGATTTTGTAGTATATTAAACCAATGCACATTTACTTCCTTCAAGTAATAAAGTATTCTCGTGAGTGTATAATATGCCATTGAAAATACATACGGGTAAGGGGTTCTAATGTCGGTCGCCATGTTGCCCCTCCATCTTGAAAGTACATTAGCCAAAGAGGGACATACCCGTTAATTCAAGCTTCGCCTTTCGCGCTTACATTTGAGTTAACACTCATGGACGAGGTCGAACTGGAAGCCATGTTAATCTTGGACTACATTGGCCACCGTAGGAGTTAAAACGAAATCGGAATTGAGAGGAACAGAAACTAATATTCACTGGATGGTCATATAGAGAGCCTAAGTCCCGCCCCTCCGCTTAAAATATGTGTGGTAGTCAATGGCGAGAGACAACTTATCTTTTTATTCTGTCTGAACTGTGCCCTGAATTACACATATGATGTTTGTCAATTTAAAATATAATTCTGAAAGTCAAAAACGTCGCAGTTTGTCATAAAACAGAAGAGTAACATTTAGTTTTATGTGAAAATCACTCAATGAACTTCATCTCCCGGGAGGCGAAACAACGAGCGAGATCCGCTGCTCGTGTGTGTGCAGTCTGGTACAAAACACTCAGGCATGACGGCATAACGTTACGATTATAACGTAAGTCTATAGAAACAGTGACAGACAATAGCCTTAGTAAAGTTAGCTTCATTCATTGAGTGAAAGAGTGCACCTTTGGGGTTTGTAGTCTTTGCAATTACGTATTTTCACAGTCTTATACCTCAACGGTTTTACATCAAACTGCGACTTTCTTTACTTTAAAAAGTATTTTTTGAATTGACAAACATCATATGTGTACTTCAGGGCACAATTCAAACGAGATCAAAATATTTGTTGTCTCTTGCCATTGACTACCATACAATCTTTTTCCGAAATAAGGTCCCATGGTGGTCGACCGGAAGGGGAGGGACTTAGGCTCTCTATACCTTTTCCCCGCTAGATGGGGTAAAAATCGCACAGTGTAGCTTTAAATTTGAAAACACTGTTTTCGCGTTGCAGTGTGGACTGTGAAAATGGATGTATATTTGAAAACGATGACGCTTTAATTAAACAACGATGATGTTTAGTCATGTGATGCATATTGAACCTATACATATGATATCTTTGTATATTCTGCTATTTTTTGTGCCTGTTGTGTGCCATTCACTTTCACATACAGTAGTTGCTAAAGCTATGTTACTTTGTACACACTTCATATGTATGTGTGTTTTAGACCAAACATATAATGGTGACTGAGTGTGACCTGGACATATCAGTGAATGGTAAGATATTTTGCTAAATAAAATGATACTGCCAAAAGAATCGCACGAGAGCTTTATATTATGTCTATTCCGTCTGTATCATCTCAACGAGCTTTTATGAGGTTTTACACATGCATGCGCAGTAAGATGAATTTAGCATTTTCCAACGTTTCAGTATGGATGAGAAACTTTTGGAAAACGCTTGAAAACACGTGCGGAGAGCGCTTTGAAACGGCGAAGTGTTTAGGAAACTTGTTTAGAAACAGTTGTTTTTGCAAAACTGTTTGATGGCAGCGCAGAAGTAAAGGTTGCTGAGTGTATTGCTTTAAAACTGACCGTATTCATGGACACAGTATGTGGGAAATGCTTCTAAATAATTGAAAACATCAGCATTTTCTCTCATTACACATCCTCTCCAGAGCCTGCAGCACTGCACCACACACACATAATGAAGAGGAGCTCTTCAGCTAAACCTTTCAATGTTATCGAAGAGAGACACACAGCTGAGCTCTGATAATGAGCTGTCCTTATCTCAACCATCTTATGAAAGACAAGTTGTCTTTTTATCCCATTTTCTCTTATTTTTATGTAATAGATGCAGCAGAATAGATTATGGGAAAGGCAACCTCGTGGTTCTGTACTATCGCTAGCTCTTTTCTTATAGATTCGACTGCGGTTGCATTGTGAGGGCTTTGATTTTGCTGGCAGCGAGCACTCATGCTGCATCTGGGTCAGTGAGAGTGCTCTGAATGCAGATGCTGAGAGTGTCACATCCGAGATGTGTTTGTAGATAGAGGCTATAAATAAACACGGAGGATTCTGCATGTGAGAGAACATGCTTCCGCAAGGAAAGATACATTTGTGATACTCTTAGTCTTTCCTCTTCTCTGCATGTTCATTTTTCATGCTATTCTGTAATCTCAGCCAATGATTTATCGATGAAGCCCCTTGCTGGGGGGATTAGGTCGTGTCCTGTCCAGAACACAGGGTGTTAAACTATACAGACTGTCCCTTTCAGAAATTATCCACCCAGACATTTACATCTTATCATCATTTACGCACCTTCATGTCTTTCTAATCTCCTATGGGAAGGGGGAAATGTAGTTTCCAAGACAAGATGTTGTGAAGAATGTGAATGCTGCTCTTTTGCATGCAATGGAAATTTCCATAAATGTAATCTACTGTATATCCGTGGTTCCCAACCTTTTTTTTCCAGGCGACCCCTATTTTAACATCCAAAATCCTTTAAAATTGTACCTGACCCGAGTTCAGTAAAGAATCTCTTTAGAAGAGAATGTTTCTTAACATCCAAGAGGTCATCCTCTGCTCCTAAATAATCCACATCCTCCTCGTTTGTGGTGATTGGATCCATTACCCATGTGCATTTGGGAACATGTTTATCAACTATCTGAACTTCATCGAATAGGGACTTCATCTTTTCCTGTAGCAGCAGTTTCATGTGTGTTAACTCTTTGCTCAAAGATTTAGGTAAATTTCCCTAAGCCTCTTTGAGAAGAGATGGAAAGTGTTTTACACCCCATTTCATCAGTTTACTCTTTATGAATTCCACTTTATTCACAAATGCGTCAATGATTTCGTTTGCATTAACACTCTTCATGTACTTGTTTGTTTCATATAGACTGAAAATATCAGCCAAGAATGATGT